GATATGAAAAATAAAGTAATCTATTAGCATTTACATTAATTGTGTGTACATACATATAATACGTTATTAAAAGGTCGAGTGAAGATTCATACCGGCATTCAACTGACATTTAGCGTACCGTTTATTTCATTTAATTTATTTGAAAAGACATTTGTCCAGGCGAACTTATGTTTTACTAGCACGGTTTTCTATACGTCGATGTCAAGGGAACTACACAACAGAGAGGTGCATATATAGTGACACAACGATCGCATGCGGGGAAAACTGAGGCTGTAATTCAACGACTCCTTCGACATGGAGTATGCATATTTTCTTGCAATCATGTTTATTTCTGGCTCCTTGCACACAGGTAAGTGATTTTTTATGAGTGTATATTGGCTACCAACTATGTACAAATCATTTGTTGATATTTAACCTCATATAACAATTACTATTATTTTACAATTCACCAAGCGGTGGGATTTTTTTACTTTGGAATTGATTTCTTCTTCCCTCGGTGTTTGTTTTGTATTTCATCCAAATAATGTTGTTTATATAACGTTGTCGAATCACAAACTAGCCAATTCAAGTCCAACTCAATAATCAACTCTAAGATGGAAACTTATAGAATTATTCTGCTGTCGACATTATCAACATACATGCTGGATATCGGAAGGTACTTTAAAAATAAAATGTCTGTTTAAAATGAAATTTCGATGCTAACACCTATTAAAACTCATATATAATTATGTTGCCATATGACGACAATGCACATTGCTTATTTTACTTACATGTTCGAAACAGCTCCCTGTTTTCAGAAACTGTCATTAACAGGCTTGTCCAATTTTTGTCAATCTGCAGACGTGTTTATGCAACCCAAAGCTGTTTTCAAATCAAACACTTGATTCAGTGGGGATTTTATGTTTTATTCAAAAACGACTTGTGTTTACCAAATATTTTTATAATTTCATCTCCCACATTTTGAAATTGTTCACAGTTTTTCTCAATAGAAACATATAAAGAAATGCAATATTGACTTCGCATAGGTGAGATAGGATTTGCTGTCATCATAACGGTGATTGTGAAGGTATAGTTGTAGCTGTATATGCCAATTTGTGTAGCAATAATCAGACTGATTTATTTTATGTTTTGGGAAATATAATATGTTTTGGGGTGTACATTTATAATAAAACAAACCAAAATGCGAGTGTAATACATAATTACGTATTTTTAAATCGTATACATCGTTTCAATTAAAATTTCACTAATGGCGATAACTTTCGTGTCAACAGCGATTTCTGAAATCTGGACAACATTGAAATAAGTATAATATTTTCTGGTAAAAATGTAACATCTGTAGTATATTGAAATTCAGATTAAATGCAGCAGCATGTGTTTCATCATTGACCACGGTCAAAACAACGCTTGAGCCAAAGAACAAAGTCATTAGGGTCAATGGTGGAACCAGCGTCTAGCGATGCAGGTGGTACACAAGAGTCAACAGATTGGAGATGACCAAGACGTACATCATTGGAAGTACAATTATCGTGTTCGTAAGATAAATGATGTACCCGGCTAACTAGTATAACAAGAGGAATTAGTAAAAGTACTAAAAATACATGACCCAAACTTGTTTACATAGAAACAATCAGTTTGCGATTTCCCCTTAGCGTTAATTTTCTTGACAATTTTAGATTGGTAAAGGTTACATACAGAGAAGTATAATTTAAACATTAGTCAGGCATATCAATTTTTGTTTTAGAATTTTAAAACAACCATTCAAAAACAATAATTTTAGCTTAATTACAGCTTTAATTAATTTAATTTAATCGTGTTAGAACTGATAGGCCAGTTCCTCGTCATCGATGCGTGATATATGATAAGTGCCACTACGGCATAGTAAATTGTACACTGATCAATTGACATAGTGTACTTCTATTTAGTACATATATTTGACTCTATAAAAACGCAGAGAAAAGCTTGGAATACAAATTCTACAGCAAGAATATTTGTTTATTCTTCGATTGCAATTATTTAACGCACACTGCTTATAAAATACACAGGTTTGAATAAAGCTGGATGGTCAACATATCAGTATACAAATTAAATCATTTGTCTTTATTCTGTCATTCAGTATAGTATGTACGTGTACGACGTGTTTACCCAAACTTGGGTAAACGATACAGAAAGTGTTTCATAATCATTTGTTAAAATATTGAATTTATGTCTCGTTTTCCTTTCTCCCAATCTTAAATATTTACACCATGTTAAATATATTCCAATCAGCAAAACAGGATGTCACTAGTAGAGACTACCCTGTTGATTGCATACTAAGCAGAGAACGGAAAACCGTATACGAGTGAGCTAAAATACGTGTCCAGGTCAGTTGCATCTTTGTAAGCTAAGGTTTAGTAAGTCATCTGTCGTTTGAGCATTATATGTGACCTTGGCAGAATTCTCACTATAAATCTGTATTCACTGTCGACAAAATCAAATGCAACAGCGTGTCTCTGATGCATTTTTATGGAGAATCCAACACGAAGATACATGTTGTGATGCGTTTTTATTGGAAACATTTATATAATTATTTGAGTTTCTTGAAGTGAATCAATTACAACAAACCATCAATCTCTCCATTCTCATGGTACATAGATACTTAGCGCCTATTACGTACATACGTACTCTAATAGTTAAAAAAAATACTTTTCCCCACGCAGCCAGGTAAACAATCATGCACAATTCTGCATAGTTATCTACATAGTGTATTTTATTCACAAAACAACTGGGAGTGAACACACTCATCTCATATGCTATTACCCAGCAAATGAAATGAACAGTTAAATAGCGATTGAAAACACAAGTTAGAGTTATATTATAAATTGTTAACAACAAAGCAGCTGTACAATTGTTAATGGGGGCGCAGGGCTGTTTGCTGTCAGGTTGGGATTGGATGTGGTTCGTCGTTAGAGGAAAATGTGTTGGTTGAATTTGGGGTATGTTGCTTGGCTTTGAGAGTACCTTCAGGGAATAAGATAGGTGATATTTTATATATGAACGCAGAGTAGTGAGCGTACTGAACTGTCCTGTCGTCCACTCAGTCTTCGACTCAATTCAGCTGTCACCAATCTCGAGGTCTCCGCTCTTACCGTCCACTCTAACGTTTCCAACTGTACTCAAACTGTCTACCTTTAAAATACCTCGCAAAGGTGCATTATTGGATGCATCGTGTTACCGTGAAATCACTGCATTCTTGCGTATTCACGAGAGATGAGTGTGGTCGTAGCGACTGAATTAAGTACAATTTGGGCAGCAATCACCTATGTGATTGCTCATATAGACAAAGAGAATACTTTCACATACTTTTAGGTGTATTTCAGACTAGTGACACAATTACTCAAATATTTACCGACACAAACTGCATGGTGCAACTTAACAAAATAAACAACTAAATTATTTTTCACGACAAGTAAGATATAATGAATAATATGTGGATCAACTGTCTAAGTTGTTTTTACACCCATGTTTGTAAGCGAGTTGATTATTTTCACTTGTTAATAGTAAGTTCTTTCAAAACATGATCTTCATTCACTGACGCATAAAGCTTGATACGATATCAACACTTACAATGGAATTGTATCACTCATTTTGTTTGACTGCAAAGCATAGTCAGGGGGAATTCCCTTTAAAAATTGATAGCAGAAATAAGAGACCCTTTTTAGTGAGAAGAAGTATAAATAAAGTAATAGGAACCATGAGTAGTGAAACAAAAATGAAAAGTAGAACTAAATTATGATCTATATATGTATCAAGTTTATTACCCCCAAATCGAGAGAAAGTTGATGGCAGCCACCCAAACATTTTATTTTGAGTCGGTCGTATATCAAAGAAGAGTTCTCGCTCTGTAAAATGATATTGCAAACGAGATTTGTTCATGACAGCAGTAGAATCTGTAGTTTACCACTCTTTTGAATTGTAAGTTGTCATGTGTTTTCATAAAAGAAAATAGAAAAGTCATTTCACTGTATTGTGACATTAATGAAGAAAAGTTTGTTGAAGTAGTCTTTGGAGAATCTCTGATATATTTGACTCCCGTCTGCTGAAAATGTAGTAGTGTGGTAGGACTGAACTTTGTTTCGTGACATAATGAAGCCAGCTCGAGCTAATAAATATATCATAACTTATTGGATCTTTTAAAATGGGCTGATTGGTTTTTCGGTGTTAGCTAATTGAGAACTATACGCATTGCTGTTTATAAGTTCATATTCGTTCGAAGTCTTACGTATCTAGCTCATGATTTCAGTATACAAGCACAGTGGGCTATATATCCGGGAACTATATCAAGATAAAGACATCACTGATATACCAATATACTGTACAAGTGAGATATATACACTGTTTTACTAGATTCAGTATACAACATCACAACTGATCAAGATAGTATTACCTGAAACGACACAAGACATGACTAAAGTCACATCAAGTGACACAAGAACCAAGACCTGTGTATAGGCTTGGGCATTGGTTGAGAGTTTATTCTCGTCGTGTTTAGAACTGTATGCAGTATCTCTATAGATCTTTGTTCTGATTGCCCTGTGCAATATTACCCCCGAACAGAGACTTCTTCATAAGTCATCTCATGTCGTTAAGACTTAAGACATTATAGTACTGGTATGGTATTGACTTGCTTTTAAAGTTTTGTTATATTGCCCTTACCAAATGAAATGATGCCGCCCACTAATCATTGAATACAACACAGAAATGTATTTCATTGTGTAGTTTTTATTTGTTTTGATATCAGGTATTTTTACCTTCCCGCATAAATTGTGGATATATTCATTCCACAATAGACCCCACTGCTTGTCTCGAATAAAGCTAAGCACATCGAAGTTTATTGCACTGTTCACGATATTATTAACTAAGACAATAAGACTGTCAGATTGGTGCTGTGCTTCACTCAAAATACAATAAAAATTTCTAATGCCAAAAATATATTAACTGTTATTACTACTATTATCTTGTAGTCACAGCAAATACATGTGATTTTGAGAATAGCCAATGCGGGTGGTATGAAGATACCATTGGCGATGGTTGTGATTGGGTCAGATTACAAGGTAGCACTGAATTAGCTCCCAGATATGTTGGCGGATTCAACAACACTGATGGTAAGTAACAAAATACAGACATCCATCTTGATTGTATACAAAAGTGTTTTGGTTTCTGAAAAAAATGATATCTATGATTAAGAACTAAAGGGGAGCAGAGGTCTGGCTTTTGTCACTACGTACATGAAATTTAAGATCTATGGAAGAATTCTGGCGATACAAACAACTTTTATATGCTGCGAAATGCCCTAAATATCGGGTATAAAACGGATTGTGAAGTTGACGACAACGTCCTCTTTGCCTGGCGTCATTTCGCCTATAGGGGCGCTAGGTGATGACGTCAGTAATGAACATATCGCTATTGTATACACGTACTTATTCTATTGGTTTCCACAAACGTTGAAATTCAAACAAAAAACAAAAAATTCAAATATATTTAGTTTTTAACTATATATAATTATATGCAAGCAATTTGCCCTTTAACCTAGATTTGATTGAGACGGCAATTACGGTATGATTGTCTGAATTGGAAAGTACATCGGTGTAAATTCTGGGGTTTCTTTCCTGATTGTTGACTCTTCACGATGTGTTTGTATAACTATTTTTGTCGACTTTCGATAATAATTTCGATTGTTTGAAATGCATATCGACAGTATCCCGGTAATAATTTGTTTGTAATGTCAATCGTCGCTGGTTTCTTAATGCCGCATTTAGGATGCGTTGTTGTCGACTTCTGTCATACAAGCCGAGACAGTACAAAAATTGACCGTAATTCATGGGGATCATGTTCAGTAATTTGAAGGGGTGAAACTTCAAATGATTAAACAAATTCTATTTATTATATATTTGTTATTTGTCATCGCCAAACTATAAACGAACTAGAGTTGTCCCGGTGAAATGTCAATTCCAAGTATCCATTTCTTACCTTGAAAAATAAAAAAAAATAAAGAGCATCGGGCAATATATTAATAACCATTCTTACCAATCGCAAGCTTTTTGGGAGAATAGGAAATCAAACGGCCGCAGTTCGCCCGACTTTAATGCATAGATTTCATGACGCCAGCTGGCCGCGGTCGTGTATTATTGTCAAGACCTTGATTGAACATAAATGACTGGGATATTTTAAGAGAACGATAACGTAGAACATGCGCAAAGAAGGAAAAGTCGATACGCTGCGACAACTGAGTGACTGCAAAACTTACTACGCGGCAATGCTGACGTCCAGAGTTAGCGGGACCAGCGCAATATAAATGTACGTGACCTTCATAATAGGATTGTGTTTTCCAGAGTGTTCAAATAATAGAAGCTGACATTTTTGACTACCGTTGTGTAATTGAAACACAGGACAAAAGTATTAGATGGATTACAAAGGAGGCTATAGTTAAATGGGCAAATGATTTGCTGGAGCCAATGGTAAATTTATGGAATTGATTTTACAGTGACAATGTATACATGTATGAACAATTATGTGAATATGGTGTTGCGTGTTATAGGAAGTAGGTGATGTCTTAAGTCTTCTGGTTATGTCATTTGAATCAAGAGGGGGAGGTTAAAGTACTTGATCGGAAAGAATGATTATATTTGTTCTTTGGAAGTGAGTGGCTTATTTGTACTTAACTGTGACCCACCCACCACTCGATTGTAATTTGGCAAGTTGTTATTAGACATCACTAGCATTACTAGTTGGAAGACAACCATGTAAAGATAGCGCGAATAGAATAAACGTATGTAATGAACAAGGAAATAATAATGTTTTTATTTTTTATCTTAACCAACAAAAAACAAGTTGAGTAGAGGTGTCTTCAATAGTCAGAACATTGTTGAAATAGATAAAGCTTTGGAAATGATTGGACTTTCCATTATTAAGTCCTAAGGCACATTGTAAACGACTGGCGAGAGAATGCTGAAAGCATTACCTTGTTTTGGTAATAGTCATATTGCCGCAAATACTATATGTATATTGCAGCAACAACAACCCACACACATGCTATAGGAAGTAAAATCCTAGTTTCACAAATGACAGGGCTGCAAATGAGTCAATATCAAACCAGAAAAATGGAATGTAAATGCGTGGACCAGTTTGTACATTATGTGGCCAATAGAAAAAAAATAGGCGTTTCCAGTATTAGGGTAAAAAATATTGGGTAGTTAGGCAGGGATTTTATTATTATTTCAGATTTATTTTTTCTCAACATGTTCAGTCTATATCAAATACAATCATTTTAAACAATTAATTTTTGACATGATAATATTAATATCAACTTTTGTTCATTTTAGAAAAAAGTAACTCATTTCCATAAAAATAAAAGAAATTGGTCCCTATCAGTTTATGCCTAATAAATAACAATTATGTACATTCCTGCTGTGGCCATTTACCTACGATAGCAACATCACAAGCATGATAAGAGCATTTCTGATGGATACATTGCTGCCCTTGCTGTTTCTTGCATGTGACAAAAGTCAGTCTAAATCACAAGAAAATTGTAATGGGCCTGACAATCGCCATGAAAAAGTAAGAATGGGTACAAACACCCATGCCAATTCATGTGGTGAACGAATTGCAATTATTGTATGACCTTCTTCTCAATATTATACAGTGTGTGGTAGCCTATGCCAAATAATCAATGACGTGGTCACAAATGGTCATGAAGATTAATCATGATCACATACTTCATATACACTATAACATTACATCAATGGACAGAGACTATACATCCGAGGTCATCTTTTTGCCAATGCCATCCTTGCAATTTCATTATTGCTGGCTGCGTAGACCAGACTATTAATGTACATGTATTCACACATATCGGCCCTATTTTTTGGCTTTAGATGCTAAATTGAGATGCATTGTGACAACGGTGACCGTGTAGGATCGGTAGTTTAGGTAATTGTTACTAGTCGCACTGTGCACATCACAAAAATCGTACAAGTTCACAGGTCATAGGCCTAGTAAATCGCTGTCATCATTTATGTACGATGCAATGTTTGGCGATACATGCTGCCATGACCGCAATGAGACGTCACGTTTATATTTGAATATTGGATTCCCGGATTTATGACATCATGTGCCAATAAATCTTGAAAATAGGCTTTGTTAAGCGATGAAGTCGTTTAGTTCAAAGCATTGAATAATCATAGCATGGTGTGCAGAGTTTAGAGGTAATGCAATTGTTAAGAATATATTTAAATTTGTGGTAAAGGGCACGAACTCTTACCTATAGTACACTGTCTGTACGTGCTCTGCTGGCTGGCAAAATAATCTACGTCATCGAAAGGTGCATGTACGTGTACTGTAGACAATGCCCATGACTCTGCATTGCATGCGTTATCCACGTCACGATTTGTGCATGTCAATTTATCTCCACTTTTTTCAACAAAACGGGAAAATGTCGTCGAACTTGTTTTATTAACCTGAACTTTGTCTTGACGGCGCAAATTACAACTTAATAAGCGTCTTTGGTTGATTTCTGGCACCCAAAATTGATTCTCGATTCAGTCCGAATTACGCGTTTAAGAATGACCTGCTGATCCAAAATTGACCTCGCATGAAAATACTGCCGCCTACGGCGGGTCCCAGGATCATTGCGTCTAGTGTGTGTTGACCAAAGTTTGACCCCCGAGTCACGCACTGAACTCAAGTTATTTAATATTGGACACAGTTCAAATTGCGTTCGCGAACGATACGAAGAGTCGTTCAGATTGTAATAATAGTTAAATACTCGTTGTATTCCCAAACTGTATCATTAAAACCACCATTTCGAACACGCCTGTGCCAGTGATCAGTGTTCGGGCGAGCGGTCAGTGTTTTCATGCAAACGAGAAGAACAAACCATATAAATGCGGTCGTTTTTCAGTTGGAAAATACCGTGCGGTCGGAAATTAGGCGACAAGCGATCGATTATAAAGAGGGAAGTTGGGCGAAATGAGTACTGTAGTTCAAGTGATGTTAGCATATTTCTAATTTAGTTTTAACTCGTGCAATATTTATTTACCAACTGTGTACTATAGTTAGAACGCTATACGTGTCTTCATTTTCAGGTTAGTCCTTTGCCGATTTCTCGCAACCATCCTCTTGAAATTTGATTTGGGATTTCGGTAAAAATATAACATGAATCGTTATGGCATTTATACGCACAACATCTCACCATGTTTCAACTTTTAAATTGTCAGTAAACAAAGTCTTTCTTAGTAGCACTTCTATGGTATTGACGTACTAGGATGAATGGTTTCAATTATCAGTGTTCACTGATGACGTCATTGACTGGCCCTCTAGACGCGAAATAACACAACGCGAAGTCACAGCCCGTTTTATACTCGATATTTAGAGCATTTCGCAGCACATACAAATTGTCTTACATGTTCTAAGTGACAAAAGCCAGACCTCAGCTCCCCTTTAAAATTTCAATAAGCTTGCAAATATTCTGCCTCATATAAGTGATTGCAGTGCAAGTAGGAACAAATCTTTGGCCAATGTAATTATTTAAACTATATACGCCGTATACATAATAAGCATGTAATTGCATTTTATGTGAATACATGTGTTCTCAGATCACAAACCAAAACAATCCTATGGACCATAAAATGAGTTTATATGTTCAAATAAAAGTAACCATTGAACGCTTGGGATACGGGGTAGAAGCGAAGCTATCAAAACAATCGCCATGAATTAGATTAAGTGTTTAGTCAACAATTTTATTATGTCAAGAAAATACACCTCACATACTATATAATCTGGAACAAAAATATGCAAAAGGTCAACATAGTCGTGTATTTTTGGAACGATTTTAAATGGAAATTGTAGGGGGAAATGAATAAATAGGTACACTCAGTGAAGGTCAATCATTTACTTGTTCCACTAATTCCATTGTTTCATTGTATAGCATATTATCTGTGTTCAAAACATATTACTCCAAATAGATATGTCTATCATTTTAGGGCATTATATGTACCTTAGGAAATCCGTTATGAATTCCGGGAGACCGAATAATTATTCATGGACGGCTAGTTTAATGAGTCCTGTGTTTTCTGCTGCTGCATCTGATTGCAAAGTAAACTTTTGGCTGCACAGTTCTGCCAGAAATATAAAAAAACCGTCAATCGTGCAAGGTGATACAACTACGACCTTCTGGCTGCCCCGTGATACAGATGATCAATGGGAAAATATTACAGTAGGAATCGGAAAGCAAACCACTCCTTGGCAGGTATGGTATCATATTTAATTCCATAAACAAGTTATCAAATAAATAGGTTAAATTATGAAGAACGACCTTTCACTACCTATATCGTATTGGATCCTATGTCTGAATATGTCGGAATGGAAATGAATATTTATCCAAATTAGCATATTGGTAGTAAACGTTCACATACCAGCAAATTACATATAGTTGTTTAACATGTTAGTTGTCTCGTACTATATACTGACATATTTTCACCACCCAGTATGTTTATACTATGTCGTGTAACATGCAAAACATATGCTATTATATAATTATACATTCACAAACACTCACATACCTTAGGTCGGGTTCGTAATGGATGGCTGTACTTCAAACATCGAAGGAACGGCAATCGATGACGTTGAATTTGTGGATTGTGAGTGGCCAGATTCTACTCAATCGTGTGACACTGGTAGTCATTTTTGGTGTAGAAATGGTGCTTGCATTGACAAGGATTTAGTGTGTGATCTTGTAAACAATTGCGGAGATAACTCAGATGAAATGAACTGTGGTGAGTAGTATATCAAAAGTTGAATAGGCCTGTGTAACTAAAGATTTAGTTTGTGATATTGTGAATAATTGTGGTGATAACTCAGATGAAATGAAGCTGACAAATATTTGTTTTTACGAGAGGAGTCGGAATTGATATAATATAATATAATATATGATATTTCCTGCTCGGGTGTGAAACATTATTACTCTAGTCAGATTATTAGCCCACAGCCAAAAACAACAAATTGGAAAAAAAATAGTAAATATCATTACGATATACTATATAATATGCACAACTATATCGAGTACATTTGTCGTTTTTTCAAAATGATCACACATATTACGATTACTCTAAAATTATTAGTTGTATATAAAATGACACAGCATGACATTGCTTTATTGACAACTTTATTACATGTGAATATGTGTACTTGCACAGTGACACAAATAATCACTCTCGTCATTTTTCACAGGCAGTTACATTCAATGTGACTTTCAGAATGGGTTTTGTGATTGGATACAAGTTGATAACGGCATCGACGAGATGGATTGGGTCCGTAAATTTGGCTATGACAAGTATGATTCAATTGCTTCAGATCCTCGCTATGACCACACACATGCTATTGCATCAGGTCAGAAACGAAACATAGATCACAAGTCGTTTACATTAATAATTCTACTGAATACGACACATATTTTGTGATTAATTAAAGAACAAAACGAACGACGGCTGAGTAATGATCAATGTTTATAAATCCGGTGACAAAAATATTCTATGACATAAATGTATTACACGAATGCATTAATCATTTTAGTTTGAGTAATTTTAGATGAGGAATATTTCAAAACTCAGTGGTCGATTTGAACTTTGCCGTCATCTATATAAGCTATCATGACGTCACATCAGCGTTCCACCACTGCAGAGCGCAATGTATAGTAATGAAGTATTATATATTCAGTTGATGTCATGCATATGTTTCATTTTAATGTACTCTTTCGTGAATTATTATAATTTATTGTAAACAGGTTATTATGCATCAATTGAGGCTATGGCCAATCAATATGGTTACAGAGCTCAGCTCATCAGTCCAGTTTTGCAAAGCACAACGTCTGGGTTATGCAAGGTACTGTATATAATTACCTCAATATGTAAAACATTAAATATTATATAAGTACAATTTTTTTGAATAAAAGTATTCACTAAGAAATAGACAAATCTTTATTATTTCGGAAAAGCAACTGAACAAATCTGGCGAAGAAGACAATTGCAAAACACGTAAAACTCAATACAAACAAAAATGAAGCAAAAACCACAATTTTGAGAATTCTGACCTATGTTATATACTCTTATTTACATTAGATGCGTTTTTACTATTACATGTTTAACCGCCATTTTGGTCATCTGAATATATATACTCGCATCTATAACGGAGAAACACAGGGACAAACTCGTGTATGGCAGAAGAATGGATATAATGGACCATTCTGGGACAAAGGCAAAATTGTTTTTGATGTCGCTGTCGATTTCCAGGTAGGAAAAATCATAGTTATCACATATGTATACACAATTCACGAAATCGAATCACGAGTAACAATTTGTAGAACGTTCTATGTTAAAACTCAAAAGCATTTCGATGTAGTTTTGGGCAAATATAATTTATGCATAACCGTCCGACGGATGAGCAAGCTTTACATGTGTGGAAATGCTCTGTAAAATATTCAAAGCTAGGTATACATTGTACAAATACTGTCAACCAACACTTTTTTGGACAAATTCATCAATTTAAAACGTTGTACGGTTGCAATGTAATAGTAGTAGTAGTTCTTGTGAACAACTGACTTTTTATAATTCTTGTGCAAGTCACCAAAGGATGCACACCATTTTATTCATGGTCTTCTGCCTTGCATGTTCGTAAAGTCCATATGCATTAAGGTTTCTATTTTACAGTCTATTATATCCATCTAATAATAAGTCGTCATAATACATACACCATATAAATTAGGTTTCCTTTCTTTTATAGGTTTATTTTCATCTATTTTTATTTGGGTTACAAATACAATCACCTCACATTGTATTCGTGATAGTCATGTGAAAGAATCAATTGAAGCCATGCATCTCGTAAAACAGAATATGTATACTTAACATATGCATCTAGTGAGGACGCCTGCAATTATACATATACATATCCAACATGTAATACGTATGAATATATTGTTATTGCAGTTCTAATCTAATTTTACATTCATTTAACACATGCTGATATTCTGTGTGTTTAGGTTGTTATTGAAGCAACAACAGGTGACGTTAGAAATGGAAACATAGCTATTGATGATGTAACATTCACTGCTACCTGTGTTTTTAGTTCTATTGGTAAGTTTCAAGACAGTGTTGTGTATTGTTGTGAGACATGGCACAATGCAGTGCGGTACAGTGAGACAGTCGTGGCGTGGCATCGTGATGTGACATAGCGCAGTGTATAGTAGTGTGGTGCAGTGTGGTTTATGTGTGACTTTGTTTATAATTGTTAATTTGTTTTCTGCAGGCGAATTGCCCAACGCACCAAGAAAATCGCCTCCACCAATTCGTTCACCAATGACATTCCACCCTTCGTGCAATGACAACGAGTTCTACTGTACATTGGATAACGAATGCATTGCTCCAGAACTGGTGTGCAACTTCCGTGATGACTGTTTGAATGGTGAAGAGGAAGCAACTCGCTGTAGTGAGATTCACCAGAATGAACATTAATCACATATATCTCCAACCATATTAACTATACTAAGTATTCTTTATTGCATAACGCGTTGACTTTACACTTGTTATATTCCTTTGAAACTGACAACACAATTTTGCCATTTTACAGTGCAGTACAGCTGTGATTTCGAAAGTGGTGCATGTGGATGGAATGGCGTGTTTGCCTCGCCGCGTGAATTGCACGAGATTCCACAATTTCGATGGGAAATACAACAAGGTCGTTCAGCTGAGGATTTTCGGCCACATGTTGACCATACAACGACAACTCCCGATGGTACATTAGTATTCATAATGTCAGACTGGAATTCATATTTCTTATTAATAATTATAATTTATGGCACTTGAGAAACACTGATCGGTAAACATCAACGTCTTTCACATCAGCATTAACGGACTTTATCTATATATTTTATCTTAGGTTTTTACATATTCGCTGACAACTCCCCCGGAGAAAGAAACACAAAAACACAAATAACAACACCAGTGATTGGACAGTCTGGTCCCAATTGCCATCTGGAATTCTGGTACCATGTGGGTAGTAGCACTTCTGGTTTACTGAAAGTATTCACAATTTATGAAAGTGAAATGAACCTGAAATTTGTATTAATTGACGTAGTCTCCAATGAATGGCAACGCGCATTGGTCTTCATAGGAATCGGAGAACGCTTTCAGGTACTGTGATTTGAACAAATTAATACTATGTTACGTAGCTCACATATTTAAATTCTTGTCGTACTTATTGTTATGATTTTCTTACATAGGTGGCCATACAAGCTACTCGTGGTTATTACGTGTTATATGATATATGTATAGATGATGTGGTATTTATAGACTGTGCACCGCCAGGTATGTCATATAGCATACATGTTATAACTATAATATATGTAGTTTAACATGACGTTTGCTGCCATATCGTGAAAGTACAATATGCACATTTTACCATGTTCATGAGGATGTAATGATTATTATTATGCATACCGAAAATATGTAAAATTTTTGAGCATGTTGAGCATGTTCATTAAATTAACTTACTAAATTGTAACGAATGACGTATTTAGTAATTCAAATACAATCAAAATATATCATATCATATATATCATGTATACTATTAAATATATCTTTTTAGTTGTAATTAACAGAGTGTGCACAGAGGAAGAATTCCGCTGTTCTGATGGGTACTGTATTGACAAAAAGAAAGTGTGTAATTTTGTAGATGACTGTATGGACTCCTCAGATGAACAACATTGCGGTAATCACTCACGTATATGGGTTACTAAGCTCGTGTATATAATTACGCCATACACCAATATAATACAACATATATGTGTGGTAATATATTGTATGGTGAACATTTTTGTATGCGTCTGAAGTGCGCTATATATTTATCAATTGAAACTACATCTATGAACACATTGAACTCGAATATGATATGCATCACCGTCATATGGTTCGAATACCCTATGTTGAATGGTTTATATTTTCCACTTTTATGTGTAAATTTTATGTTAGTCCATACGTTACGCCGAATGTTTCTCTGAAGCTGAACGGAATTGTTTTTTGCGGGCAACCATTGCCTTGCCGAATTCGAGATGTATCATCAAAATAATCGCATATAAACATCAAATCGCATTGACTACATACTTATATTTTTAACACATGAACAACTAATTGAGTAAATATGCTAGTTATTAAATACGTTATAATATTTTCAAAAAATGGTTCGCTATTTTGAATAGATACTTAGGGCATTATATGGCCTAAATGTGTGCATGTCTGTCTTTTCCTGATATAAAGACACATTCTTAAGGCTGTGAGTTTAAAACAGTAGAGAGCACATTTTTATATTAGACAATATGCATTTTACTTCACCATTCTTTGAAACTCTCGGTAAATTAATTTATTTATTTATTTATTTATTAACTTCCTTCAATATTTCTGTATATTTGTGTATATGTACATTGTGTTGCAGGTGCTTTAGTCGGTAGATGTGATTTTGAACTAGACCTTTGTGATTGGGAACAAGAATATGACCAAGAATATAAATGGTTATTCGCTCGTGGAACTGAGCTTGACCACACCTTTAGAACAGTTGATGGTACGTATTTGATAATGTTAATATTATTCACACAATTGCAACATAATCAGTTAGTTCAAGTCTTAATTATGTATAGTACTTTATCATTTTTTTAATAAATTGTTTAATGTATTAATTATTAGATTCCACACTGATGATAAATTATGGAGAAATTGGACAAACACAATTCGTAACATGAATAACTGAAAATAAGACTTATTTTTTACTTTCAAGGCCAGTATTTAAATGCGAGATGGAATCATCAATACGGAGCACGACTTGCCAGTCCATCAATCAAAGGAACAAGCATTGGATGTAGAGTAAGATTCGTCCTACAAAATCATGGTATACATGTAATGTACAGATTAAACAGATAACACTAATATTAATCAAATCCTAAATGTGTATTCCTGGTGATTTGTTTCCTAGGTTACTTTTTGGTATCGTATGTATGGAAAGTCTATTATCTCATTGTTGGTGTTACTGCGGACATCTTACCTCGATGGCGATAGCAGTTTGCAAATGTTACACAATGAAACTGGAGACAAAATTTATTACTGGTGGCCGCTAGATCTAACTATTGATAGTCGAGGCAAAGACTTTAAGGTTTGCTAGAAGTGTTTGTTAATATGTTTTTGTACCGGAACATGTACGTGTGGTATTATTTTCAGAACACATTTACATATATTATAATAACACACCTATAAGGATACGAAGTTCAATAGCAAGAAAATAGTCATTCTTGCTGATATTACTCTCACTTATGTTATGACCTTTTTTTTGCAACACGATAACTGGAAAAAATTAACTCGATCTCTGAGCAGATTGTTATAGAAGGAATGGGCCGCCATGGATATGACGGTTACGTCGCGATAGATGATGTCAGCTTCAGTTCGGAATGCATCGGTGGTGGATTGTTGCCTGGTGAAACGTCACCTATGGTTCCCAACCATTCGTATTGTGATGAAGATAATAGAATGTTATCTTGTCAAGATGGATCAGGGTGTTTTTATACTTGGCGAAGGTGTAATTTTATTCAAGACTGCACAGACAACTCGGATGAATCAAGCTGTGGTATATTTAATTTTATATATATATTGATTGATAAAATTTATTTATTTAATACGTTTTATATATTTCACAGTATAATAACAATTTCATTACAAGTAAATGTGGGTTTCACTTTAGGAACATCCTGTGACTTCGAGTCTGGTACATGTGGTTGGCATAACTCAACTACGCATGGCTGGGTAATTATGCATGGTCGACCACCCAATCTTTTTCACGGACAAGTTATTGATGGCACAATTGGAGATGATCTGGGTAAGCATGCACAAAACTAATTTGGTTATTCCTTGCATAAGGAACTAGTTCTGGTATATTGCATTATGTATCTAGACTATATTCGATATAACACTATGTAACTTTTTCAGGTCATTACATGTTTGTGGTATCGAGTAACTATGAAAACAGAGATTTACGAACACTACCATACCAACACAGCCATGAAAATTGTCAATTATCCTTTCGATACTACATTTATGGACATCGTCAAGGAAGTCTATCTATCAGAATCAAATATAGAAACCATCAATCAAAACGACTTTGGCATGCCACAGACAATCAAGGAAATGGGTGGTATAATGGGGTTGCCATAATCGGTCGTCAGGAAGAGTTCTCCATTTTCATCGAATGTGAACGTAATTTCGGATATATAAGTGGAATCGCCATTGACGATTTACAATTTAACAATTGCTCTGATAGTAAGTATGTATGTATGAGTATGAGGCTGATTTTATATATACCTGCTCCAGTTCCGCATTGTAGGATTTGAGATTTCTTTTAACAGCTTACGTAATTGTATTCACATACATACAATGAAGTTTAATATAATGTATTGTTCCTTCGTGTGCACATTATAAGATGTCTCTCAGGGTTAAAGAACGAGTGATATTGATTATATTGCCGCTTATTTCGTTCTGTTTTTTTATTCACTTCTCAGCAAACTACACCAGGCCATGTGATAATGCTAATGAGTTTCAGTGTTCAAACGAAAGTCGATGTTTATTACTTGACAGATACTGTGACTATAGACCCGATTGTGATGATTGGTCTGACGAAGATAACTGTGGTAAACAACATATTACTTCGGCTCAACTCCTCCATCTTTCACTATTCACTGATTGTGCAACCACATTCAAATAAGAATATTAAAGTGACCCTAAGACTCCATATTGTATGCTATATGTAGGACGGTGAACTTTGCCGGCCAAATCTGTCGACGTGCTACGAAATGTACACCAAAGGCTATTGTTATCAATGATATCATCACTTCGTGTCACAATTGGTGACAGTTGGACACTTAAAAAAATCACATCCTGATCGCCATCATGCTTCATATCCGATTTGTTTTATTTAGTTGCGAAAGATGGTGATTGTCATTTTGATGAATACAAGCCGTACTGTGATTATAGACAGCTGAATGATGACAATTTCAACTGGACAGCAGGTTTTGAGACGCCAAGTAATAATAGCGGTCCTGATTATGACCACACTGCAGCTATCACTACGCATAAACACAGTAAGTTCCAAAGATTATAAGACAGAATCGCATGTACCGTTCTTTGTACATGTTAATGTTAAAGCGGCAATTGCCGTGATTTCACTGAATTCTAAAATACTGTTTTAGACACAATTTCATGGGCACATTAACCCTATCCCGTGCAGCGTCTGAATATAGCGCATATGATATGCTTTCAGTGCCTTAATTTCACTATTACAAATTGCCAATAATGACACAGGAGAGTTTTTATTGAAAATAAAAATCAGAAAAAATAGTTACTGCTGTTTTATAATATGTAAAATTTTATTTTAATAATGATTAATATTGTATTTGAATAGTGGTCTCCAGATCACCTAAGAAAATACAACATTAGTCAAAAAGACTTGAGAAAACAATAAGCAACAGTTGGGTAAATGTTTTGCGATAGTCAACTGTATTTTTTGCATGGCTTCTTTTAATTTTGCATTCTCAGGTCTATTTCTATACATCAAGAGTAGTGAGCAAAATACTGGAGATATTGCTCGCATAGCTACAAATACAACGTTTCCAGCAAGCAATGATGTATGTGCCATCAGGTTTTGGTATCACATGTATTCGAAAAGTCAGGTGTCTAGAATGGGTAGCCTAAGGGTAAGTACAATATAATAGGTTATATACTATATCATTCATGCCATGAAATTTGTATTCGTCATATAGTGTTGAGGCAGTAATGGAGTCCTTGGCACTTGCATGTTATTTTGTTTAAATCAATACAGACATTCAAACATATATAGTTCAACCGTGTGTGTTAAAATGAAAGTTTCCAAGAATATAAATACGACTCATTTTTGGATCTTGTATTACTTATAACCATGTTGTAGTAATTATCATATGTTCCGAGCATGTTTATATATTCTTGACAGATTCTCTGCAAATTTACTTTTTGGCCATTTGGAATTTTGACCATAGTTTATATTATCCAACAACAATCAAAATGTCCGCCAATCCAATAAATAAATTGTTTGTTTGTTGTTGTTGTTTTATTTAAATTGGTGATTTGGGTAATATGGTTTAGTTCCTTTAAAATAGTAATTACATATCTTAATCCAGTATAACCAAGATAGCCGATATACATGCCTCTGACATACAGAGCACACAACAGTTCCTGAATGATTTTTAGATGTATCCATATGTTATCATGTTCAGATACTTCAAATCAGACAACTTGATCATGTTAAAATACCAGCTGCCTTAAGGGGCCTACCAAGCACACACCTCCCGACATATCACACATATCCAATTATATGTAACAGGCCTGGTATATAGGATAAACATTGACGATGAAGAGTCAGTAACAAACACATTTTTCCTACTGGAAAAAAAATTGCAAGCCGTTTTGATTATTTTAGATATACACAGAATCGATTACGGAACAAAGTCAACGTCTATTGATGTGGCAGTACAGTGGTAATTTGGGAAAACACTGGAACTATGCTAAAGTGGTCATTGGTAATCCATTCAGATATAGAGTCGTTTTTGAGGCTATTGTGGGTGATCCGGATTTTTCCGATATAGCCATTGACGACGTAACATTTACACAGTCGTGCCTAAACTCAGGTGAGTGTAACACAGTAAATTATACGAACTACAGCCTAACATGGCAACATGACTGCAAATATAGAAGTGAACACATAACTACAGTATATACTCCTCATACTTCACGTCAGGGTAAATACTATGTTAAATCAAAGTAACCATGTACTACATCCCCAAAAATGATCGTTTATCAACCAAGAAAAGTACATGTTTACTCAGATTTAACATAATTATAACTCTGACGTCTCCTCAGTATTATTTGCTTGATTCACTTTTTATATTAGCTGCTACTACAAGCTTACAAGTATATATTCAGTTCAGAATATATTGTACAGTGTGTGCCCTTGTTCGAATATTGATTTCAAGAGATAGTTATATCGTTATTCTTAAGATCTTCCAACGTAGTGCTCCAATTTATCTTCATTATTATAAATTGGTCTTTGTACAATTAGTGTATAGATAATATTTCCTGATATTTCTTAATATTTTTTTACTATATTAGATATTAATGTTCCAGAGCCATGTCTGCGTAATCAAATATATTGCCCAGGTGACCAAATATGTGTTGATATATCCTGGTTGAATGACGGGGATGTTGATTGTCCAGCTGATTGTTATGACGAAGAAGAATTTAGATTCAACTGTAGTAAGATTCAATCCTATATTTTAATATTACAGTAGCAGGCACCTAACTAGAAGTATTAATATTGTATTCTACTCTACGTGGTTGAGAAATTAGGTTAATTGAACTGTTTTACACAACTACACATACGTGCATTATGAGTCCATGTGCATTTCGAGTTTCCGACGCGACGTTCGAATTACCGGTTTTCCGGCAGTATGACGCTTGAGGGTGGAGTCTAAGGGCGGAGCGTCATATAATTGGTATAAATGTACGTAAAGCTAAATTCAATAGACTTGTGGAGCTGACGGACGAATAAGTTGCCCGCATTTTTTGCTCCAAGTGGTCGCGAAATACTCCGTCGTATGTAGATTGGAAAAGGGGGAACATTGGCATTCACATGCCATCTATCGTGAGCATTTCCCAAGAATTTTACTTCTCCAGATGTTTTGATTTTTCATTTATTCAGTCCACACATTTTTGGAGGCCTGGTTTCATGTCCGCCAAATAACTTCTGTGATTTGTTTCTCTGCCAAAAAAAGGATTACCTCATTTGAAATGCAGAAACATGAACTGTACTAAAAACAAAACATAATGACCACTTAAAACGATTACCAACAATTCAAAGTTTTACAATTCCCTTCCTTTAAATAAATGTCAAAATTGTCCTCTTCCCTCAGGAATATGCACACAATAACCCCTACCCTTAAATATGTTCATGGAATAGCTTTTTCGATGACATCGATTGACCTCACCTGACACCAGGAAATGTGTTATGACCGTGACACCAATCCATATGCTATATTAACATGGCGGTATATTCTCGTATTTATTTATTTATTTATTGGTTTAGTTTCAATTTACCATTATTGACGCTAGTACATCGCATACAGAACTGGATATATTTATATCAGGGTAGAGTGTTTTGTGAATCTTCTCAAACGGAAAACCGTATAGATGCTGGGTCCTTATTTAATCAATTAGTTGGCAAACAATTTATGGTCGACGATTTTTTATTTTTCATTTCAAATGAATCATCGCATTGAAAGATAACATGTTACATCAATACATTTTTAAAGTTCTTTAATGTTTTTAATAGCACTAGGCGCACATTCAACTATTACAAGTTCAAGATCGCAATTTTCGTTGTCGTATTACGTCGATATGTTATCGGCGGAACAGTATTATGCATTAATTGCTGTTGTTTTCAGTGACATGATCAATGGTACGCATTCATTGAAATCAAGCTAACTCGCTTTGTTTACATCCGGGTATTTTATTTGCCCTTTCAACTTCAAGAGTGATAGGGCAAACCTTGTTTGAACCACATTTGCACCATACATACAGAACACGGACAAAATACCACTAATTTGAAATATATATGTGAATTTGTCTTTTTCAAATATTTGTATAGGCACAGAGAATGAACACGACCAAAATTTGGAGAAACAAATAAGTAAGTCTGCAGTATTATTTATTATCTCGCTTATAAATGGCATTTTTTTTCGTTCAAAATATTCATTCTGCGTCTGTCCGTAACATCTTCATTTACCAGTAAACATCACATCACAAGCATGTAAAAAAAAAGTAAAATTGAACAGTGATGTTTCAATATGTTATGATGAAATTGGAATTGGGAGACATTTTAAAACACTTCGCCTAACAACATAAAGACATTCTAGTATAAAAGGGTATATATCACTTTGTACTTTCCAGACCGTTATGGCACAGTAATCGCAGGTACCGGACTGGCAGCATTTGTAATTTTTGTGTCAGTGATCGCTGTGGTAGCATACAGTTTGAGGTAGGTCATTATCCATATCGAGTATAAACAACATAAATCATTTTCCCATGCATGAAACCAATCAGTTAACCAAACAATCAGTTAACCCAAGACAATGAATTCAGTGCATAAGAAATAACATATAATGAATACAATGTTATACATATTTATTGTAGAATCAAGGGTGGAAATAATTCTCCTGCACATGTCGCTGTTTCTAATGAGGTTTGTTATTTTTAAATTACACTGAAATGTGTTTCCGCGGATTATGTAAAGCCACGAGTATCACGAGTATAATATAATTAAATCAGATTTACGTATGGATAGTTTACACTACCAAAATCAAATATGTATGAGAAAACAACAAAAAAGGCAAGAAAACAAACACAATACACATTACCAATAAATAAATATAGAAATGTATATCTACATGGGATTTTAATCAGATTGGAAATACAGGAGATAACACTTGTTTACTGTATTGCAATATATAACACTTGTTTTCACATTGTGGTCATATTGTCACATACAATTTTCATTTAATAAATGTTTGATTTGTTTTGTTATTAAAGGTCCGTATGCAGGATTTAAATTACTGGAATACTATTTTTCGTTAAAGGTAAACTCATTTTTTTTTAAAGTAATGTTCCCTCTTGTGGTTTAACCATGTGTGTCTCAATTAATATACACTGAGTTACGCATATCCCATATTTTAACATATATTTACCTTTTCTTATAGATATGTATATCAACGAATTTAGGTATGAAGAGTTAATGGTTTCCAAGCAACTAATATTATTTTGTATGAATACACGATTGTTACATTTAATAAGTCATATGAGCCAAACTATGCGATAATGTAAGTATGTATAAGCAAGCTGTATCCAAGAGACAACACACTTGATTATTCATATTAAAACGAGGAAAAGTATTGCCTTTAGATGGCGATCTATTTATAATCCGAATAAACATTCGATATTCTCAATTTCGGTTAATAATAATTTTTATTATTCTAAACAGTTGATAATTTAATATTATTTAGAGAGAACGTGCCATTATTTTGAAATATATTTTTCACAATGTATTGCCATTTAGCATAGCTATTATTTAAAGTGATTAGTGTTTGGGTAATAAATGTTTATATAATTCATTGGACAATTTCCCTTCTGTGTACGAGCTGTTCTATATAATAATCTCCTGTGACACTCATTTGTGCACTGTAAGCAACCAATGTATATATTAAAATGTGCTTAGCCATTCGGTAACCACAACCCACACACAAGTGTGGGAGTACTTTTTGGTGTCTTTATATTTGAAACCTTTTAACAGTTGGCTAAAACAACTGAAAATGAATATATTACCAAATCAGAAAAAAATAATATGATATGAATTTAAGATGAATACAACTTCATAACTACGACACAAGATTGATAATTGGCAATGTCAATTGCGAGGCAATGTTCTCATAATTATACTGTTAATTGGGTGCTTCACAATGTACAGAAACGATATCTACCATTATTCAGGTTACTGATCCTTTAAGTTACAATTGAATGTGACTTAGTGTCACATACTGTCTAGATTGTGATTTTAAGAAACGAATTATATGTTGTACACGAGAAATTTATTTATGCATTCATTATAAGAAATTATGTGTTATACACGAGAGATGTATTTATGTATTTATTATAAGAAAGTATATGTTATACACGAAAAATTTAATTATGTATTTATTATAAGAAATTTGTTTTGTACACGAGATATGTATTTACAGTTTGGGCCACAATTAGGTGCTTTAACACTAAACGTAAAAATATTTGGAAGTACGTCGAGCTACGTGCTTCAGGCGTCACTTAATTTGGTTACTGGTCGTAGAATTATAATTTAGTATTTCCGATGATTAATGTATAGGTGTTGTAGACCATTTTCACTTAAGTTATAGATGCACTTGGGAGAGATTTTTTTTTTTTTTTTTAGTCCCCGTTCGGACGCAGTCCGAAAACGGGGACTTATGTTTTGCCCTGTGTGCGTCCGTCCGTCCGTGCGTCCGTGATCACTTGTATCTCGAACATGCATGGACCGATTAAGTTCAAACTTCACTCATACATCACACA